ACCTTCACCTCCTGGAAGTTGCTGACATTGCCTCACGACTAACCGATACACAAAGTCTATAATACGCGAGAAAAACCAATATTCAAGCAACAATCAAATATGCACAAACAAAATATATTTGTTGAGGTTGAACCTAAGGTTGCTCATATTATTCGCGCTTGCTAATGGTTTCCAACATGCTAAGGGCTAAAGTTTCTTAATCTTTCTGTTATCATGGTGGTCTATTTAGGAGCTAGCCAATGTAGTATGAATGAGATACGTATCTGGCTACTATGTGGTTTAGTCTAGCAAATGGCTATTCATGCATCTATCTAGATAGAACGGTTATACACTAGAGGTTTTGTTGCCGGATGGATTTGGATCGGTCAAATAATTACTGTGAATCATTTGTATTATTATTTTATTGATGGAGGCTTTATTTTAATTATGTACATATTTTACTTGTCAAAATAAATTATAAAGGTTAACAATTACCCTTGCTTTGTATGTTAGAATTGTTTAGGTTAATCATAGTATGGTTACAGATTATCCCATCACATAATTTTACAATGAATAATCCTAATTTACAGTTGAACTATAATTATAATTATATGAGGTCAAGATTTATAACTAGTATTTATCTAATATACATGTTTGTCATACACTCCCTCTTAATTTCATATATGCAATACGCAAATTAATACTATACCGTACCACTATAATGGGATGTATAGTATATGTGTAAGCAACAATATCTTATTATTGGATCATATATTTGAGTAGTTTCTTTTTACTGTAAGCTATACAATACATGTTGATTTTAAGATGGCTCTATTTGGTTAACTAATGGATATCAACCGACTATATATATATATTCTACTTCACATGACATTGTATCAACTAATTTTTTTAAGTGGTCCAGATACAACTAGCTCTGTGATTACTCTCCTAAACAAGTTAAAGACTCATCTATGTGTGTTTATATTTTAGTTACAAAATATGAGGCTAAACTTTATGTAAATAATTTATAAGTCATGGAATTAGTTATATTCGGACATAGGCTAGTAAATGGCACTAACATTTTCCTTTACACCCATTAATTTGAAGGATTGATTATAACTAATTTATTTGGTTGCTACAGTGACAAGACATATTAAAGATAATTATGCTACTGTACAATATCCATTTTTTTTATTTATTGGCACACTATTTAGGTTAACTATTATCTAATCATTTGATATTAATTAATTTATAATTATAAATATATTTTATTGAATAGTGAATTATATATCATTGGAAAGCTTATGAATTTAGATGAATTTAGGTTCAAGTTTCACTCAAATCCGAGTTAAAATGAATAAGTTATGCTAGTGTAAAGATTCAACTTTGAATTAATCCGAGAAATTGCGAAAAGCTACTGTTCATAAACGATTTATTTTTAATCCAAGACATATCCATTGACAAGTGGGACCCCGGGTTTATTCCTTTTTCCTACCGAATTATTTTCTAAAGGGAAATAGGAAGAGCTAATAACAAGTGGGGCCCACATGTCATGAACTCGAGACCATAAAACTTCTATAATTTGATTTTTAACCACCCGGACCCACATGTAATAGACTCAACTAATAAAGATTAAGAAGGGGATTACTATTCACTAAACACGTGGGGCCCACTCTAATCTCTCCTCTCCTTTTTCTCTCCCTTTTCTTTTCTTTTCCTTTCTCTCTCTTTTCTTTTCTTCTCCTTTCTCCCTCTTTTCTTTTCTTCTCCTTTCTCTCTCTCCTTTCCGGTTTCTCTCCTCCTTCCCTCTTCTTTCTCTCCCTCGGCTTCTCCCTTCCTCTCTCTTTCTTGGCTCCCTCTCTACCCGGCGGCACGACGACAAATAGGGGGGCAGCGGCTCACCGACGGCGGCGACGACGGCGCACGGCGCGGCACACTGAGGCGGCAGCGCGGCGGTCACGAATGCGGCGGCACGACAGCACGAGGGCGGTGGCGCGGCGGCGCGTGGAGAGGGGGAAGAGGGAGAGGAGGGGGAAGATGGAGTGAGGAGAGGGGAGAACGGTGGCTCTTATAGGGGAGAGAGGGAATAAGGGGAAGAGGGAAGAGAAGGGAGGGGGTGACGCGACGGCGGCGCGGCGGCGCGGGGCTCGGGACGGCGCGGGGCTCGGCGCGCGGTGAGGGCGACGGGCGACACGACGACGACGGCGGAGCGTCGACGGGACGGCGACACGGCGACGGGACGGCGACGCGGCGACGGGACGGCGCGGCACGGCACGGGGCTCGGCGCGCGGCGATGGCGACAGGGCGGCGCGGGGCTCGAGATGACGGCGACACGACGGACGCGACGCGCGGGCGCAGGACGGCGTGACAGCGGCGGCGCGCGGCGCGAGGCAGTGACGGCGACGGCAGCGCGGGGCAGGGACGGCGATGGCGACGTCGGCGCGGTGGCAGGCGACAGAGAGAGGGGGAAAGAGGAGGGGCTGGGTTAGGGGACCACGTCGAACACCTGGCGGCCGATGAATAGTGTCTTTTCCTATTTAATCCCCATTTTAGCCTATTTTTTGTGTAAATTTGATTTTATAAATCCTAGATTTTGTATAAAGAAGTTTACCCAATATTTGTGTCATTCCAACCAATGGATTTATTCTAGATTAATATTACTCATATTTTATTTATATAATTTATTTGAATTTTTAATTAGGGTTAATTCTTATTATTATTATATATTTTTCAAAGTTTTCCTATTTTTCTTCTTTTAGGGTTTTGGTTGATTTATAAATTGAGAAAAGTTGCAAATTAAATTTGTATTTACTCCCAAGCATTTAGGTGACCGTATTAAGTGTTCAAATGTGAATTTTTCCCAAAATTTAATATTGTCCAATATTTAAGGTTTATTAAAGATTCTATAATTTTCTAATGAGACCGTTATTAACACAATAGCACATTAGCTCAATTTATCTATATGTTAGTTTATTTTATATGGAGGGGTTTAATATATCAAATTTCAATCCCTAAATGCAATTAGGAACTTGGTGCAAAATCGATCTACATATCGAATTAAATACTCCCGTAATTCTATTATATATACAGAGAGCTCAGTTTATTTGAATGATCATCATTTCATGTGTACACATATTATGGCACCCACCTACATTATTCAAATATTTTAATATTTGATAAAATAGGTTAATAATAACTTTTCTTTTATTTGATTTTAATATCTTGTGCATAATTATTTGTAGGATTAAATATATTCCCGTAAATCATATCTATTGCTTAAATGTAGTTCTTTTCTTTACTTTCTTGGTGATCATTTACGGTTTGGCAAGTAATAGCAATCATAACAACCAGCATGATGCAAAAGTTTTAAAAAGTTCGAAATTTTCGTGATTTTCATTGTCTTGAATTTTCAGGATGTTACACGTCACGTCAGCGAAACCGCTCTCTAAAACTGTTGATGGAGTCAAATTGCAACTGTTTTAATAGTTGGGAGTCGAGATATCCGGTATTATGATTCAAGGATGCGAATCAGATTTGGCAATTAGTTAGAGTCAAAGTGGACTTATTTCTTTTTTTTTTTGCCCCCGGGCCGGGGTTCAGAGTGGATTGGGCCGAAACCCCTGTCAAACCCGGCCTAACTAAAATCAGGCAGAATTCCGTGGAGCCCCGAACACAGCCGGGTGCGGGTGCAGAGCCTCTCGCCGCCGCCATCGCCGCTCATCGAAACCCTAGAGCCCTTGGCGATGCCGGCGGCCAGAGATTCAGGCCTCAGGCTACCACCCACCCAGGGTGGGTGATGCTCGAGGTCGTCGACGGCGATGGCGCCAATCACCGAGGCGACCTCCCGCTCCTCCTCCGGCCATCTCGTCCGCGTCTCCTTCCGCCCCGAGCTGACACTACTACAGATCCGGGCTTCAGTGACGGGTCATCTGTGACGGGCCAACGTAACTCGTCAAAGATGAGTCATCTCTGACGGGCCGAAAAAATATCCTCTTCAATATATGGCTACCAGGGAGGACCCGTCACAGATGTAAAGTCATCTGTGACGGCTTGCACTTGTAACCCGTCACAGATCGTCTGTGACGGGTCACAACCATGGCTCGTCACAAATGACATGTCATTTGTGACGGGTGTAGTATTATGAACCATCACAAAAGAGACCACTCATCTCTGACGGGTCTTTAACTAACACACGTCACAGATAACGTTATCTCTGACGGGTGGTGGTTATGACCCGTCAGTGATGAGTGAAAATTCAAATTTGTAAATTTTGCAAAAAAACCTCGGATTGAAACATGTCCTATATAAAAGTTGTAGCTCTCAATGATATCCACAACTTTATAACTAACAACATTTCTATTAGAGATCGTTTACATCCCCGAACATGCATTACAAGTGATCAGATCTACTTTTAAAAACAAAATTTTGAGTTTTTTTTCAAATGACATGGATGGATACATGCCCCGTATCAAAGTCATAGAACTCAATCAGATCTACAACATTATAATTGAAAATATTTTCATTTCACAAAATTTACATGTTATAAAGTGAGATATATTTTTAAAAATGAAATTTTGAATTCTTCAAACAACATCGGATGAAGATATTTTCTATGTAAAAGTTATAAAACACGATGAGATAACTATTTAGTTGATAATATTTTCATTTGAAGTCATTTAGGGTGTTAAATATATGTTAAATGATTCAGACAAGCATAGACAAAATAATAACATTGGGTTAGTAGTCAATATGTGTTGAGTAGGTGAGTTGGTAAGAGAGCTCTATATGGAGGTTGAGGTCTGAGTTCGAATCTCACTTGTAGCATACAAGTTATATTGCGTGAAAAATTGTGAATTTGTAGGTAGTGATGTGTAACCATGTATAGGATTGCTAGTAAAATTCAAAATATTTTTTTGAGGTTTTTTGTTGCGTTTAAAATTCAAAAATTATATTTCTTACTTTGTCATCAGTGACGGGTCGTAAGTTACAACCCGTCAGAGATGAGTCATCAGTGACGGTCAGGTAGTTACGACACGTCACTGATGACTCATCTGTGACGGGTGACAAGTTTTAACCCGTCAGAGATGACTTATATACCGGTCAGAGATGGGTTATCTGTGACGGGTGTTTCATCCGTCACAGGTGATTTTGTCATCAGTGACCACTAATCACTGACCAAGACCAAACCCGTCAAAGGTGAGGGTTTGGGCCCGTCAGAGATGACCTGGTCCGGCGTAGTGTGAGCTTCCGCTGCTCCCCGTGCGGCAAGGACGGACCCTCGATGGACCTCGTCGCTGACCACGACGACCACTCCGTAGTGCTCCTCGAGATGCGTTACGACAAGGAAGGCTACGACGAATTCGGGATCGATTACTTCGTCTACAATTACGCCGCCGCCGACGACGACGGCGACGACGATGACCCACCACGGCCGCCGTCGTTGTCGCTGCTCCCGTCCTACTGGGATCCATTGGACGAGGACGAAAGAAGGCGGCGTCAGGATCCGAAGGTGCACCAGCTGGACGCAGATAGCACCGGCCTCCTCCGCCGCCGCCGCCGCCGCCACGGCGAGGACGACCTCGTGGTGGCGGAGCTCATCACCACCAGGGAGAGCGAGAGCAGCAAGCTGGAGGAGGTCAAGCTCCTCGTGCTCCGCTCCGGCGAGTGGAGCGTCACGCGGGCGGAGATCATCCACGACGGCAGCAAGGGCGAGGAGCTCTCCTACTGGGAGACCGACATGGCCGTCCCCGTCGGCGACCGGCGGCTCTGCTGGGTCGACCTGTACCGCGGCGTCATCCTCTGCGGCGACGACCTGTTCGACGAAATTCCCCCGCGGCTGCAGTACGTGCCGCTCCCCGTGGAGGCCCCCGCCGGCGAATTCGAGGAGGACAGCGACGACGAGAGCACGCGGAGATGCCTGATGGCGAGCTCAAGTTCATCGACGTCTTCCCCCGCTGCTGCTGCGGCGACCCCGGCGCCACCCTCTGCGACCATTCTCGCCACGCCTTCGTCATCAACATCTGGACACTCAGGATCGACGGCGACGGCGACCACACCATGTTGTCATGGACCATGGACGCCATGATCGACGCCACCGAGCTCTGGTCCCTCGACGCCTACGCCGGCATCCCACGTGTCATCCCGGAGTACCCTGTCATCAGCACAGACGACGCTGACGTCATCTGCTTCCTCGTGACCGAGCCATACAATCACAAACAGGGGAAACCCTATTTCGAAAGAACGACATGGGAGATGACGATGGACACCAAGAACAAGACACTGCTATCAGTATGCACATACGATGATGATATTTCCCAACGAGAGCCATCTTATGGACACACTTACATTCCAAACAATTTTGCTACAAAGCCACCACCGGCCATCATCTGCGAGGCAACGACGACGATCACAACCGAAATCAACGGTAATAATCTGTCGCAATCTTTGCCATCTGCCAAACATCTGCAGGTGTCAAGGATGGCTCCTGAGGAGATATTGGTAGCACTTGAAGAGATTCCTGAGCTTTCTCGCGATGATTTGCTGAAAGCGTATAGTATTCTTTGCCGTGACAATGGCCGCCTATTTAGGTCTCTTCTTGGGCTCCCAATGAGTCTGAGGAAGAAGTGGCTGTTGATAGAAATTAAGGCTTGTCGAGATTGTCCCGTCTGCAGTGCATGTACAACTGATGGCCTATAACATGATTGATTAAAATATTTGTTATAGTGGTACTTGTATACACTTGTGGGATTAACTGTGCTAATTCTGCTGAATTAAGTTCCTTATTTGTTGTTTTTATTACACTTTGAAAAGACCGATGCCAATATTTATTACGAACTTGGGGTTGTCAAGGTAGAAAAAAACTGACTGTTTATTTTTTTTACTAACTGCTTAGATATAAAGTGACCTAATATTAAGGTAGAAAAAACATAGTGCCCGAAAATTCCATTCAAATAACTATTAATCAAAGTTCAGACTAAAAAAAAATAGTGCAGTGACAACATATAAATATATAATTGTCCCATGTCCCATATAGGTCATTTCAAGAAACAAAAATCCAATTTATCAAGATTTGCATGATGATACACCGTAATTTGCAGTCTTACATGCATGTATATAACTAGCAAACATACGCCCGTGCGTTGTAACGGGATATCTAAATTATATATAAGTATTATCCAAGCGATCAGCTGAGGTAAAGCATCAATTATTGCAGGCCGTAGATACATGTTTTTTTTAAAAAAAAGAATAACTCTTTTTTTAACAGTCCATGCATACATTTTTGTTTGCCAAATATATTAATTTTCTGTAACAGTACATTAACAATATGAGGCAAAACAATCATCAGTCTAATTGTGTAACTTAATTACTGGACGAACTGATACTTCGAGATCGTATACCGGACATATATATGAATCTGCTCCATTAGAATTCAGAAGAGAATCTGCTGGTGACAAACAGCCCTCCGAAGTCCGAACAAGGGATGCACATCAAACGACAAACGAATCCAAAGCTGCCAGCACGTCGTAGGAAACACTTAATTAGCTCGTAATAGAAGGTTGTTCAATAACAGCCAATAAAATTCTGAAACGCAACAAGTAGCATATAGAGGACTCTGACCAAAAGCAACACAATTACTTGTTTTAGCCCTGCTACAGTGGTTTACGGATAAACAAAAGGGACCGTGTACATATATATCTATTGATAAATGAAATGCTAACCGTGCTTCTATGGCTTCTGTAGCAGCAACTGCTAGGTTGCCTTGATAAGACATTAGGCTTGTGTTCATTGGTTAATGTAAAAACTCTTTAGCATGACTTGTGATGATTTTGTTATGGAAACAAATGTTGATATTAACAATTTTTTTGTTATGAATGAAATGAGAGTGAAGGTCAGCAGTTCTTATAATTTCATTTTGAAAATGACAATTCAAACAAAATGAGAACCAAGGAGGGCAATTTGCTTGCACTAAAAGAAGTTCCTTATCAATATCACATAAACGTCAGTGGCTTAGGAGGATGTTATCAGTTTATAACTACTATTGTCCATGGAAATTGAAATGAATTTATATATTTTTGTCTTGTAACATATACTAGGTAACGTGCGTTGCACGTGCATGATTACTAGTCTATTGATAAAAAATCCCACATCTCATCTTTCGAATTTTGGACTGTTAGATATGCTTTAAGATTCGTGCAAAGCCCTTAATCCTAACTCCTCTCCTCCCGTTCCCTTCAAGCATTCTGCCACCGCAAGCCCGATCCCCTACCACTACCGCGCCACCGCCTGACTCTCCGACTGGCCGGAAAACGTCAAAGAAAAACATGAGATTGACATCTCACGACTATATAATTACATAGCAATTATTACAGATATAATTCAAGAGATGCAAACATTTTCAGAGACGCATGACAATCCATTTCTAAACTGGGTTTTCCTCTTGGAAAGGCAAAAAATTTCGGTGGGCACCAATTCTGAAATTTCGGGAAATTTTTTTAGATATTTCGAATGATTTTTTTTGAAATTTTAATAAATTTTATTGAATTTGAATAAATTATGACCAAATTCACAAATTTGAAAAAAATCCAAAAAGTTTGCTCAAAATATTTGCTTGCAGGAGAGGGGCAAAATTCTTCCGAAATTTCCATCCTTGTTGCTAATACACATATATGTACATTTTGAGGGGTTATACACAATCGGATTCATACAACTATTTCAGACAGTAATTATACAACAAAATGCAAATGCAAATGCAAGGGACGAAACATTATGAACAAATCAGAGATTAAAGAGGTGGGGGAGGAGAGGAACAAATAAACAAGAGATTTGCTCCGGTCCAGCCAAAAGTATCTCGAGGTACTGTACCCAAGGTTTGAAATTTTGAAACTAAGATTTCTGCCGCAGGTGGGTGAAAGAATCGAAATTTTGGATTTTTTTCGTGCGAATTTTTTTGAAATTTTGACTGATTTTTGAATAAATTTGAATAAAATATGAGCAAATTCAAAAAAATGTAAAAAACCGAAAATTTCGGGCGAGATGCATGTAAGCATTTCGGTCCTGTCCTATATATCCGAATAAGGCGTAATTAAAATCAGAGTTCCGTCGAGCCCTGAGCACAAGTCAGCCTCTCGCCGCCACTCATCGAAACCCTACAACCACCGGCGACGATGGCAGCCGCATGCTACCACCCTGTGCAACCATTCTAGCAACGCCTTCGTCATCAACACATGGACGCTAAGGATGAACGACGACGACGACGGCATGGAGTGGACCATGGACGCCATTGTCGACGCCACCAAGCTCTGGTCCCTCGACGCCTACGCCAGCATCCCACGTATCACCCCAGAGCACCTATCGTCGGCATAGACGACTCTGACGTCATCTGCTTTTCTACGTCAACGTGACGATATGGAAGATCATGATGAACACGAAGGACAAGACATTGCTGTCAGTATGCCGATATGATAATGATGTTTACCAACAAAAGCCATCTTATGGACACACTTACATTCCTTGCAAGATCTCCACTTTATACACAAACCATAGTAGCAACAATGGTGTTACAAAGCCACCAGTAGGTCGTCAGCAAGCCATCAACAATTACAACTGAAATCAACGGTAATCAGTCGCAATTTTTGTCACCGGAGTCATCTGCCAAACATCTGCAGGTGTCAAGGATAGCTTCTCCCGAGGAGATCTTGGTGGCGCTCGAAGCGATTCCCGATCATGCTTGTGATGATTTGCTGAAAGCGTATATCATTCTTTGCCGTGACAATGGCCGCCTATTTAGGTCTCTTCTCGGGCTCCCAATGGGTCTAAGGAAGAAATGGTTGATGATAGAAATCAAGGCTTATCAAAACATTTACTCTACATGTACAAGTACAACAAATGACTTACATCATGATTGATTGAAATATTTGATTTAAATTAACTGTTGGATTGCGTTGGTTCTGCTGAACTGTGTTCCTTCACTACTACAATATCGATTTTTCATTACGTCAACATTTTTTTTGGCGGCCACACACGATCACCGCCAGCGAAAATACTCCAACGGTATAGGTGGGAAACCGTCCGCTAGTCTCCCCGTATTGCTTTACAATCTCCACACAACGCCTATCACCTAATAGTTCTTTTAGCATTACACTAGCTCATTCATGAGCAAGGTTTTAAATCTCCAACTATACCTGCTATCTCCCCACTATCTCCAGGTACAAATTGTTCAAGCAAGAACTAGCTATTTGTTGTCATATGCAATGTAATTGCTGTTAATCAATACAGCCCACTATTAATTGTATGAGAGACTGATAGCTAAATGTCGTATCAATCGATTTAAAATGCTGCTCGTGGGCTACCATATTACAGTACTCCTTCCGTCCCAAAATAAACCAACTTTTAGTGTTTGAAATTTGTCCTAAAATAAACCAGCTTCTACCTTCCTACCTACCATCAATCTGTAAATCGAGAAGCTTTATCTCTTCAATACCCCTCATATACCCGCTCATCAATATAACTTTGCTATTAATTAGGGCCATTTTGGTCCTTTGTCTCTCCTCTTATATCCACCTTGGGAAGCTAGGGTTGGAATTTTTGTGGGACAAAGGGAGTACGTCTCAAGGCAACATTTTGTAGTCATTATCTTGGACTATATACAAAAATAATGTGGAAAAGTTAAACGTGATGGAGCCGCATTATTTCTAGGACGTGTCTACAACGAGGCCGTGCGCTGGATTGTCATAACCAGCTATCCCAATCTCATACCTAGTTGCTACTAGTACACCTAAAATTGCATGCATTTTTTTCTTCTTATAGAATTTTCTCTTGAATTACACCATTACGTTCGTTGCAATTAAATCTTTAGAACAAGATCTTATGTGACTATATTTTTATAAAAGAAATATCTATGTTGTAAATTACTTTTATTATATATGTATAAGTTACTTTTTGATTTTACTAAATTACTTCTCATACATTCATAATGTTGTGAGTTGTTTATTTTATAATCATTTTTAGTTAATAACATAATTTGTGCTAATTAAATTTAATTTCTATATAGACTCATGTTTTTACCTTCATAATAGATTTACTTTTAATGTCGTGACAAAGTTACTTTCTTTTTGTTTTAAGTTACTTCCATAATATATGTAAATTACTTTTAGGCTTTATTAAATTTATTTTTATATTCAAACATATTATTAATTTAAAAATAATTCATTTAAATTGTAAAAGTAAGTTAGTTATGCAATAGAACTCTCTATAACATTAGAAGTAAGTATATTATGACTAAGTTGTAGTGAGAGACTGTGGAGTAAATTCATAAGCAGTGTAGAGAATATTTTCAAGTAAATACATTTGTGAAAGTAAGTTCAATAAAATCTGAAAGTAATTTACATAAATCATAAAAGTAACTTAGCATAAAATAGAAGTAAGTTGTTAGTACAACATTATAAGTAAATCTGTTGTAGGGATAAAAATGTGAGTCTATCTAAAAATTTAATTTAATCAGGATAAATTATGGAATTGACTAAAAACAATAATAAAGGTAATCAACTCGGAGCATTACGAATATATAAGAAGTAATTTAATCAAATTTGAATGTAATTTATATATATGATAAAAGTAACTTACATATATAATAAAAATAATTTACAAACATAAATATTTTTTCATCATAATATAATCATGTAAGATCTTGTTACGAAGATGCAATGAGCACAAAGATATAATCGGATCGTAGATCAAATAAGTAATTTAAGACAATATTTTATAAGAAGAAAAAAAACATGTATCACTTAAT